CGGTCCTTTTTCCCTACCTTTCCCCCCTCCCCCTCCCCCTCCCCCTCCCCCTGCCCCTGCCCCTCCCCCTCCCCCCGGCCCCTCCGGCAGGTACCTCCAAGACGGCCGTGTTCTCAGTCCCCGAGCTGTCTCCCAACTGGAGGACCTCACACCCCCGCCCTTCAAGAAAATAATGGACGGCATAACCGGTGGGGGGTGGGGGAGATGGAGGGAGAATATTGGCCTCGCTGTCTGTGTGTCTGTCTGTCTGTGTGTATGTCTGTCTGTATGTATGTGTGTGTCCTGCACAGGCAAGGCAAGGATTCCATGTTCGGGTGGTGCAGTACAGCTCCCTCCCTTCCCGCTTTAAAGCCACCCCAACTCCACCACCTTTATTTCTGCTACTGCTATCAAGTTGAGGTCGTGCTGCGTTGTGTTTATGTATGATGTGTGAAACAGGGGGGTGTATCTTCGCCCGTGGCAGCTACCCTGCGAAACCCTGCCTTCCCCGGTATTTCGGGGCACCCTCATCCAGTCACCCTAGTCAACTTCTCAGTGGATCGCTCAGGTTCCGCACCCACCACCAGCATCCAACGGAATCTGCCGGGTCGACAGCGGCGCAACTCCATTCCTGGTCGGCTCGCAGGTTAACTTTATCCCAGGTCACCACCGTCCATCAACTAGGGGCGCAATGCCTTCCACCATCGGAAGGACTTTTGACCCTAACGGGTATCGATCCCGGGATCTCTCATGTATGTATGTATGTATGTGCGTCATGTGGTGGTGGCATGTGCCCGTCAGGATCCAGGTGGCGGCGGAAAGTGCACCTCCACTACGGCAGTCGATTGACCTTGCTGCTGACGTCAGCAGCAAGGGCGGCAAGAACCACCACCACCACCACCACCACCAGCGGCACCCATGGTGGCGTTACACAGGAGCCACAGCAGGTGCGGGGCCTGGGGTGTGTGTGTATGTATGTATGTGTAGCTTGAGCGGCTGTTTGAGTTAGGGTGGCACGTTGTGCCTGTAGTGCATTTCTCGTGGACTCACATTGGTTGGCGAGGATATCTGTCCGTTAGTCTGTCCGTATATCCGCCCTTTGCTGCGGCTGGTGCTCAACGGGCGCACTGCAGCTGTTCGTACGCGATATGCCGTGTGCCGTACATGGGTGTGTGTGGTACCCCTGGTGTCCGGGGTGGGGGAAAGGAGGGAGTGCCACCCAGCAGCCACCCTGGAGCAGTAAATTCCAAAATCGCCAGCTGCCGTACACACCCAACGGCGTCCTCCCTCTCCCGCCGCAATCACCCTCTCCCCTCCCCTCCCCTCCCGGCCCATTCCGACCGCAGTCGAACCCCTCCCTGGAGCGACTTATCTCCCAGCAGGCCACACGACCCTATCTGCTGGTGGCGGTCACCTCCCCCTCTCCTTCCCCCTCCTCCTCATCTTCCTCCCGGCGCCAACCCGCCGCACGCACACGCATCCACGTGCATCTGGTCCTGAGGCGCAGCGCCGCATCCTCCACCCCCGACCTGCTCCGGGCCTTCGTCCACTGCCGCTGCCTGGCGCACTTTTGCGAACTCCAGTTACAGCGGAGGGCGGCCGACATGACGATGAAGACCAAGACCAAGACCAAGAAGAAGGACACCAAGCATCAGGTGGTGTCAGTCGGTGAGAGATCCTCGAGGTTGCAAGAGCGGAAGCGGGGCGAGGTCCAGGGAAAGCAGCGGCAGCAGCAGCAGCATCAGGGTGAGGAAGGGGTCGAGAGCGTGGATGCAGCAGGGGCGGCAGCTGCTGCAGAGGCGGAGGCATGGATGGCGGCGCGGTACGACATATTGGTTTCAGAGCTTCAAGATGCTGGGTGGCACACGGACCGAGTAGCTTTGCCTCGACCCAGCTGGACTGCGGAGTGGGGGCCTGTGACCCGTGGGTCAATTGGGGATGCGGGGGCGGTACAGGCGATGGTGGAGCAGCAGCAGCCGCCTCAGGGGGTTCAGCACCTGCACCTGGAGTGAAGTGAATGAACGGTGCAGGATGGAAAGTATCGAGGTGACGGTGGTGGTGGTGATGGTGGGTTATGCGTGCATGTGCATGTATGACGATTAGTGTTCGGCGGGGTTTGTGACAGTCCCCCACTTTAGGAAACAATTACGACGACCCTAGAAACTTTGTTACTTAGGTTGGAATTAATTGAGACCCGCCCTAAATGAAAAAAATCACTGGGTTTGCCAAGTCTGAGGGTAGGGGGAGGGGATGTTGTAGCGCGATAGCTACACAGTAGTGATGAGATTATTAAGAAATATGCGAATCTAATTATGATTATGAAATCTTCTGAAACTGATATGGCTGTCAAGGAATCGTTTGTAAGAATTCACCGGAACTGAACATCAAGGATCTGTACGACAGCCTTACCGAAATCCACAAACTTACTGAAATCGTCTTTGCTCACTAATCGACGTGTTGTTGTTTAGAATTCATATTCTACACACGTTCGGAGCGCGGTTTTATACCGTGGTCGGGGCAGTGCCGGCCTGAGACAGACTTCACATGTCTTCGGCACTGCACCAAACTACAACAGGGGAAGGGGCCGAATGCTAGATGTCCACGTGTAAAGAGCTTGTGTGGAAGTTTCACAGTCAGGGCGTTTTGATTATCCTAGCCCTGGTGACGGAAATGCCAGGCAGGGTGTGAACGCGGGTGCTTGTATGTCAAGTCTTGGCAACCAGGTCTTGTCCCGCTGCTTTAGTTTGTTTGGAGACAAGGGACATGCGGCCACACAGGGAATGTGACTGTGCGGCTTCGCGGCATCCTGCCGGTACAGCTGACAGCTGCAACTCCCGGATGCGCTTGATGGCCTGATGCCTGCACACGTCCTTGACCGGAGGGGTGCAGAGCGGTGTCCCATACTCCCTTAGTCCTGGGGAAGGGTCAGCCCCGCATCCTGTCGGTTGGATAACCCCCCCTTTCATATCCTCGAGCCACACATCCAACAGCCGCATCCTGGTGACTGCATCCCTTCCCCTCCGCCATCCTCATCCTTGGTGGGTTGGCGTTGACCCTCCCGCCAATATGCCGCCGCCATCCTGGGCCCTCTGCCATCCTTTTCCTTGCGAGGTCCGCATTTTTATCCTACTCTTTTCTTCTGTATCTTGTGCCCGACGACCCTCCGCCGCATCCTGACTGCTCTGCAACCCTCCTCCTTAACTGACCTGATGTGAGGTCTAGATCACAAGAAAAACAGGCCAGAACCCGTGACGTGTTGTGGTGCTTGCTTTTTCGTCGCTTCTATTGTGTCGTTGGGCAGATATGTGTGGTTGATATACCGCACATCCCGCACACACTCACACATACCAACATTTTCATGCGCGAAACAAAAGACATTTCACTGTAGTGAATCCTGGTGCTCGCGGCGCGAGCGGGCGTGGAATGCGCAGAGATTCCTTGCGGAAGCCGGCGGCGCGGCGCGGCATGTAAACTGCTTCTGAGCAACAAAGCTAAAACTAGCAGTCAGCTATGCCAATAAGGTTTAGAAAATACACTTATCTGTCGGTTTGGGCCCTGAGTTACGTCCATGGCAACAGCTGCTCGCGACTTGGACCAGACAGCCATGAACAAACCAGGTGGAGACGGATGCGATGCCCATTTAGACTTGCAGCGGGGCCATTTGCAAAGACTATGGTAGGAGCAGCGCCTTTCACAGTACCGTTTGCGACACCAGTGGCGGCGCCGTTCGCGCCATGGCCATTGGGAGAGCCATTGGGAGTGCCAAGCGCAGGGCCAAGTGGAGGGCCATTCACAGAGCCGTTTACGGCAGTACTAGCAGGGCTAGCACCATGGCAAGCTGCAGGACCAGCGACAGGACCAGCGACCATCTCCCTAAGTACTTTTTGCCTGGTGTTACATTGGTGCGAATTACTAGGAGGTGGTGACTCCCCGGATCGAGATTTGATTAAACACATAGCACACTCCAGGCATGATGCAGCATACCCA